CACACACACACACACACACACACACTCTCTCTCTCTCTCTCTCTGATATAAACATTTTTATTCTTTGTCCTTCATCAGATAAGGACATTAACAATAAAAAAAGAAAGATCATTAAAGATATAAAAAATGAACCAGGCGGGCTTGTTATCAACATGACAGATTAATCGAGCAGTAAATCCGATTTTTCAGCTCTTGTTTTATCGGCTGACTGTGAATCGCAGAGGTCAGCGGCCTATAGAAAGGGTCAAGGTCATTATGATGATTTATAAAAGACAAACTATGCAGAAGGTCCAGGGCGGAGTAATTATGTGCGCTAGTTTTTCTTTATTCAGAAATGCGAGGTTATGCGCTTCCCTCACGATGCCACATTAGTCAGTGAAGTCAGAGAGGCTCTGAATGGGTCAATTTATTCTTATTACGTGCTGTTTGTTCTAGAGCTGCTCGAGCACATTTGGTATTCATATTCAAAGAGCTTGAAGAGACTCGCAAGAGCAGATTCAGACGCGTGCCTCATTTCACACAGAAACAAAAGATGAAAAGGACTGCTCTAGGAACCATTCATTGGAAAGCAAACAAATGAAAGTCTTTCGGTTAACATTGCATCCAAATGATGTGATTATTACAAACCTGTCAAGAACATGGACCACATTTCAAGCAATCAGTGTCATTTTAGTATTATATTACTATAATTACTATTACTATTATAGTATTTATTATTATTTTGAATAAGCTTTTGTTTTTAAAGTTTAGTAAATATTCTTGTCATTTTTAATACGTTCTGCTTTTTTAAATATATCTTGAAGTTTTATTTTAGTTTTAATAACTTTAGCACCTCAACTTGCTTTATTTCAGTTAATGGGCAATGCAATATTTCTATTTTTTTTTACTTTTTTAATTACAAAAATATTTTTTATTGTTTTTGTTGTAGTTAAAGCACTGCATGGAAAAAAATGATATTTGTTGACACTTTCTTAAAGAAAAAGAAGCCTTTTCATGAAAAAATGAAGGACTTATGTTTTTTCCCCAGAAAAAAATTACTGCATTACTGTAATGAAAATAATGGGAATATCATAAATCAAAAGCAAAACACACAATAGCATCTTAGTTTTGGAGAAAAAATTAAAAATAAAATTAATTTAAAATTAATTTAACATTTCTTTTCATGCAGCTGCAAAAGCAAACATTTTGTCATTGGTTTCTATTTATTTCTGGTTGTGATTTGGTGCTTGATGCAGTAAGTTTACTTTCAGTGACTTGACTTGAAGTGCAGAGTAAGTCTTTATTTGCGTATGGATTTGTGTGGACAGATACTCACCGTCTCTGAGAGAATGACCGCCTCGCTGGGCTGCAGCGGGATCTCAGCCGTCTTCAGCTCCTTATCAAACAGCTCCTGGTGTTTGCTGTTCCTTTTCTCTTTCCTTTTCTCCTTCCTGTCTTTCTCAGGTTCGTCTCGATCCAGTTTATCCTGAGACTTACAGTGCAGCTTCTTTGGTAAGAGAGGCTCCAAGGCAAATCTATTAGATGAGAGAGAAGAGGAATCAAATGAGGAGAGGAGGACGGAGATAATCGAGCGGCGGCTGTGTTTTATTGGATAAGACTTCTGGGCTGTTTAATATCACAGAGAAGCCTCTTATGAAGTCTTGAGAAAATATTAGCACTCATTTGACATTTTGCTCCAACTGTAAACTCAAAAGCACGTTTCTGGTGTTCAGTCTCAAGTGTCATGGCAACCAACCGTATTAGCTCATTGAATATGACACATATTTTTATAACATGTTATCTCAGAGATCAGGGCTCAGACCTGGAACTTTTTTTCTTTTTCTGCCATCTTGGTCAGCTGAGCTTCTCATAATCATACTTGAGCTACGTTTTTACAGGCCTCACAAAAAAAAAAAAAAAAAATTTAAGGGGAAAATAAAAATAAATATGATTAAAATAATAATCCTTGAATTTTTAAGAAAGAAATTAAAGTTAAGAAAAAACTTTACATATTAAATATATAAGTGAAAATAAAAATAAATATGATTAAAATAATAATCCTTGAATTTTTAAGAAAGAAATTAAAGTTAAGAAAAAACTTTACATATTAAATATATAAAAGTTTTTCATTTGCAATAGGATTATAAAATGACAAAATTAAAAAAATAGATATATAAAGCTTAAATTCTTTGCATTTTTAATATAATGTCTGAAATATAGTTTATATATTTTTAATTTAACATTTATATTTTCTGTTTTCATTAAACATTTTCTGAAGAAAAAGGTTTTTAATTTGAAAATAGTCATATTAAAATAAGGACATAAAAACATACATTAAAAAAATGTCATTATTAAAATGCAAAACAGGGTCAGAAATATATTTCAATATGTTTTTCGTAAAACATTTAGATATTTTCCCCACTAAACGTGTTTAAAAGTTCTTAATTTGTAATAATAGCTGGAATATAATATATAACAATATCCAGCTGTAATATAACCCTATGAGAGCTATAAACTAAGCTGTTAAAAAATAACAAAGTTTATGATTTAACCCAGTCTAACTGATGCATCAAAATACATAAATCAATTTCATATTTTTGAGAAAACATTATGCCAGCAAGCTAATGATACCCAAATAACTTTTAAATCAACAAAATCTGCAATAACGGTCTTTAATAAATCATAGGAAACCAAATGTTCAAGAGTGCAAAGCACAAAAGCACATGATTGATGAACGTAAGATGCAGCGGCACTGACTCGAAACGCTCTCACGCCGGCTCTATCCTTATCTGCCGTTTCATAAAGTAAATGAAAACCACAGTAAGCGTATTTGTTAGCACAAGCGTACGTGAACCCAGACAGAAAAACTGTGTCATCACTATTGGATTTCAGGTCCAAAGCTCAGAACAAACTAGTTTCTTAAAAATGCAGCGATGCCGGAGAGAAATCGTACATCATCCATGCAAACGGCTCCTGTAAAAGCGAGAATCTCTGCATTAAAGTGCGTTTCATATCTGCTGACCTGGCCGATAATGAGACTCGCAGGCGGTTTTGTACAGCGGGAAGCAGCTAAAAAGCCCAGCAGAATCTCTGGCTCTCATAATCAGAATGTGGAGCTCAAGCGAATCAAAGCACTTTAATGAGATGGATTAACTAATCAAATGAAAGCTCTTGTGAAGCACTGCCCTTCACAATTAAACAGCAGCGGAGGGCATTGCTCTCTTCAAACATGCACTAATTAATCCTTAAGACTGGCACCTGTGTGTCCGCCGCGCTACACTGCCACCAACCTGACAGGGTAAAGACACCACAGGCATTTTACACATATAAACACATCTGATTCTGTCTTAAAGTGAAATAAGATGATGTTCTTGGAGAAACAGCAGGTGATTCGGTGCATTACAGCTGTAAGCGTGAATGAGAACAGACCGCCTGCTAAGAGAAATGACAAAGGACCGAAATGAAAAAAGTCACTCTAACCGAGGAAGTGTTCTGTGCTAGTCCTCCTATAACGGCTATAAGAAGAAAATAAATCACTGTCAAGAATCCAGCCTGTTCAATATAGAGGTCTGGATCAGTGCTCCACTAATGGCTGATGCTGATATCTGGAGAGAGATTTATCATTATTTAAATAATTAAACATTTTACTTGTTTGTTAAACGGTTTTGACCCAGATTAGAAACTCCTAAAGGGTGTTTTACGTATGTCTACTATAGGTTTGTAGTGTTATTTTAGTATCATTTATATTCTATCATAGTTTTTGTTTATATTTTGAATTGAATTTTTTTAAATGTTTTCGGTTTTTAATTTTAGTTAAAGTTTTAGTAAATATTCTATCATAGTTTTTGTTCATATTTGGAATTTCTTCATGTTCCTGGTTTTTATTTTAATTTTATTTAAAGTTTTTGCTATTTTGTTATTTTTGTAAATATATCTATATAGTTCTTAAGTTTTTTGTTTAGTTTTTTTTATTACTTTAACTTTTTAACTATTTAAATGTTTTATTATTTAACTTTCAGTGAATATTTATTTTATTTCAAGTAATGAAACAATTATATAAAAATATATATAAATATATATTTACTTATTTATTAAATAAAAATGTCATAAATAATAATACCTAAATAATAATACTGCTACTGTCTAAAGGTTTAGGGACCAGTAAGATTTTTAATGTTTTTAAAAGACATCTCTTCTGCTCACGAAGGCTGTATTTATTTGATAAAAAATAAAGTAAAAACAGTAATACTGTGAAATATTATTACAAATTAAAATAATTATTTGAATACATTTTAGAATGTAATTTATTTCTGTGATCAAAGCTGAATTTTCAGCATCATTACTCTAGTCTCCAGTGTCACATGATCTTCAGAAATCATTCTAATATGCTGATTTGCTGCTCAAGAAACATTTCTGATTATCAGTGTTGAAAACAGTTGTGCTGCTTCATATTTTTCTAGAAAGTGACCTTTTTCAGGAATGTTTGATTGTTTGATGATTTGATGTTTGAGCATTTATTTGCAATAGAAATCTTTTGTAATATTATAAATGTCTTTACTCTCAGTTTTGATCAATTTAATGAATTCGAAAATCTGTGTAAACAGTAGAAAGAAAGAATAAAAGAAAGCAATAAAGGTGAAATATCTGCAGATATATTGCTCTAGCAGTAGTCTGGATGGTGTGTGTGTTTACCCGTCTGATCCCGGTCTGGAGGGAGAGTTGTCTGATGATATGGAGGTCACAGACGCGACAGACAGCGGCCTCTGAGACGACGGCATGGTGAAGGAGCGAACCATTGAACGCGGCCGACTGCCCCGCCGCTCGTCCGACACGAGAGGCTGAAACAACATCATGAGTCAGTTCTTTAAAAAACTCAAAATCAGTTCTTTAAAAAACTTTCTTGCACCAAAATAGTCATGATTAATTTTTATGACCATTTTTCCTCTCTCCCTGACACTAAATGTCATCCATTGTGATTGGCTAACCAAGCTACGAGAATACTTTTTGTGCGCAAAGAAAACAAAAATAACGGTTTTATTCAACAATTCGTCTCCTCCACATCACCCTGGCAACGTATGCAACGCATGTACACGGATACGTTGTTTACGTTCAGATCAAAGCGTAAACAACGTATCTGCGTATATACGTTGCCAGGGTGATGCGGAGGAGACGAATTGTTGAATAAAGTCATTATTTGTTTTCTTTGCACACAAAAAATATTCTCGTAGCTTCGTAAAATTACGGTTGAAACACTGATGTCACATGGATTATTTTAACGATGTCCTTGCTATGTTTCTGAGCCTTGATGACCACACACCGCCTCGACAGACAGAAATATAAACAGGCCAAGTGTGAGTATGTTTTTGCTGATTCTCATTGCTTTAATACAGTCTTTGCCTCTTTCTGTCTGAATCTCGTATATATGTGATTATGAACCGCTCATACCTTCCTTATCTTCCTCCTGTCCTGCGCTGTCCTTGAAACAGATATATGTAGCACAGATCACGTTCTCAGTCTTTCACACACTGTATTGAAAGCTTCGCTGCTAATTCTAGCACCTTGGCAGAGCGCGGCGATCAATAACTGCCAGCTACAGCAACTATCTCTCTCTCTCTCTCATGCGTTCGCTCTCTTTCTCTCCCTGTCTGCCGTACTCTTTTGTCCCCGTCTCTCATTCCCTCCTAAGGACTCCCAGCATTCTTCTGTCAGGGATCTCAGCATGTCTGTTCGGACCGGAGAAGAGGCGCGATTCTTTACAGTGTGTTTGGGAATGTCTTTGTCACACATTCACTCAGTGCGTCTCCAAATACAGCTGTGGAAACTTTTGCTCTACTTTTCTACTTACATTTATGCAAGTTAAGGTTTTCCACACCAAATACAATAAAAATGAAGGAAAAAAAGTAAAAGAAGCGTGTATGTGTGTGTGTGTGTATATAACATAACATGAAATGCCGCGAAAAAATATTATCTGCATTTTTATGTCTAGTATATCAAACCTGATTTCCAAAAAGCAAAGACATATTATCATTAAAAAACAAATTTAATATATCAATTATTATTCAACAGTAGCATTAATACAATTACAAATCTTATTTATTTCTGCTACACACATGATTTTCTATACCAGCAGGATGTGAATATGGATAATATTTTGTAAAAGGAAGAAGGTGAGATGTCTTAAACTGTATATGGGTCATAGGGATGCACCGATACCACTTTTTCCAGTACTCGCCCGATACCGATACTTTTATTTTTGGTACTTGCTGATACCGAGTACCGATACCAATATTTTTATTGCATTTGTAAATTTTTTAAATATTGGGTACAGAAACCAAAAGAGTATGTATAATGTTAGTTGGTTAACTTCATTTATCAAATAGATACAGTCAAACCTAAATTTATTCAGACACCTTCAACATTTCTCACATTATCACAGTTTACTCGCTATAGTTTAGAAAATGGTAATAAAATATAACAAGAACTCAGAGTTAAACGGTGTCAGAACAAATTCATCTTGATAATGCTAGAAAATTCTGATAGAAAGGTATGTAATAGATTTTTAACATTATATTCATTGCATACATATACTTCGTAGTAGACATCCTTAACTCCTTTCTGCTGTCTGTTGTTCTGTTTTCGGTGTTTCTTTTTTTGAATATGGCGCTTATCACATGCTGTGTGGTATCGGCGTTTGGTATCGGGGCATTTTTACGAGTACGAGTACAGGAGCTCAGTATCGGGCGGTGCATCCCTAGTCATTATACAACTGCAAAAGCATTTTAATCTAAAGGTTTTAGAAAATGAGACTCATCAATCATATATTAAAACTATGCTGTATTAAGTAACTTATCTTCTTTTTCATTTCATACAAGGTATAATATAATAATAATAGGGTGTTTTTTAAAGTAAATTAAATGTATCATTGACTGACATCTTTTGTCAGTGAAGTTAGACCTAATTAAAAGGTAATGAGTCTCAATAACAGCATTGATGAATTACATGATTAAGTTGGTGGCAGGTGTTACAAAAAATTATCAGGCTTATATGGAAGACAATCTTGATGATAAAGCTATCATAATTTGATTAACAACATAATAGCACTGATTAAAAAAAGAATTTAAATTAAACATATAAATATATAAAATATATGTGTGTGCAGACAGACATTTTCTTAGGAAAATAACCATTTGAAAGATTTCTATGGAAGCCTGTTTCCACCATGTAATAAAAAAAAGGTAATTGCGACTTTCTAGCAATATGGACTTGATCAAAGTCTGAACTGTTAGATACAATTTTTTTCTCACAATTCTGACTTTTTCCCCTCAGAATTCCACATTTATTGCTCGCAATTTTTTGTTTCCCCCACACAAAAAAAAAGGTAATTGTGACTTTTTATTTAGCAATTCTGGGTTTTTCATACATTTCTGAGTATATATCTCACAGTTTGGACTTTCTGATTTAGAAATTGCAAGAATTGTGAGGTATAAACTCAGAATTGCAAGAAAATTGTAAAAATAAATAAAGAAAAGAAAAAAAAAAGATTTTTATTCCAACCATAGATTTCCTACAGTATGTATTTTCCAAAATTGTGTCATTTTTTCATGTGAATTAATGATTATAGAATTAATTTTGAACACAAAGTTGTTAAATTCTGTTTTACAACAAAATTGCTTAAAAAAGTACTTATTTTTACATGCATATTTTAATGTGTTGGGGACGAACAGAAAGTATTTAGCCTGATAATACTATGAGTTACTGTTAGGATTTTGATAGATACCTTGGAAAATTAGCCAGACTTACAGCTGTATTAAAGCAGTAACAGCATTTAAAACTGCAATTGTACAATGCCTCATAATCATCTATCAGCTGCCATGACTTCATTCAGTACAAAATTTCTATAGTGCTTTTCACAATACATATTCTAAAGCAGCTTATCTTTATAAAGCAGCATATTAAAATAATAATGCCCAGTGAGCAAATCAAAATAGCGTCCCAAGATAGTGAGGAAGAAACCAAGACCCAGACAAATGCAGACAAACATGCAACACATAAATCAGTCTGTTTGTATTGTGAGGTAAGAGTCCATCCTGAGGTCATGTGATGCATGCAAGCGAGCTGTGATGAAGAACATCCATGAATGCGTGAAGGCTGATGGTTACGGCGGAGTGAATGATGAAGGCGTGATGCAGCATGATTTGGAAAGTGACTGTCTGTTGGGACTCACTAGTGTTCTGACGCCGTACTGCTTCTCCACCTTCTCTTTCAGCTGTTTGAAACACGCCTCCAAACGCTCGTGAAACGGACGAAGAGCCTCCGTCACCTTCTCGCCGTGGATGCGAACTCCTTCAGCCAGGTTCGGGATCTGAATGAGATGCACACACAAACAAAAGCAAAGCAATTAAACCACAATCTTAAATAAAACTTAAAGTGCCCCTATTATGGATTTTTGAAAATTAGCTTTCATGCAGTGTGTAATAGATCTAAGTGAATGAAAACATCCTGCCAAGTTTTAAATCTAAAAGTGCACCCTGTATAAAGTTATTGTCTCTCAAAAGAAAGAGTCGACTCTGAATCATTGAAACGAGTCGTTTTTAAAACAAATCCCAAGTCGTTTCATGTTGACGTCAACATGAAACATCAGCATATTGCCCGCCCACTTGTTGGACTTTTCCCGTTGGTCTGAATTAAAATGCAAATTCATTCTTTGTCACTAGGTGCCGCTTTTGGAGCGGTAAAATAGCTGTTTCCCCAGTAACGCTGTACACAAAGCAGCACTGCGCTCACAAACGCTGCTTTATCAGGCATTACAGGCGAGATGAAATGAAAATGAGACCAATCGGACCAATCACCGCAGGTTAGCGTCACGCAAAGGAAGGGTTTGGAAAAATGAATCGTTAAACGAATCGTTTGGGAGTAGTTGAGCAAATAAGGTAAAAATAAATGCATATTATAAGACAATGAAAGTGTTTTTTGACATTGCATGCATGTCAACCTGTTGTTGGGGACTCCCAAAACCAAAATATGAACCTTTCATAACCCATAATAGGGGCACTTTAAGAAAAAAAATGACTAAGCATTCACACCGACAGGAATCGTTATAAAAGACACACTCAACAAATGGCATCAAACAAATGTTTATCTAAACCCAATACCATAAATGCTATTTAAAATAAATAACTTTAAAATTCAAATCAAATTTTCACAATTTCAAATGTATTTTTCTCCATTTTCTATTGCTGTATTAACAAATATACACATTTTTGTTACAAAACAATATAGAAAAATAAACACTTGCAGTCAATTATGCATTTATTCAATGAGTACATTTATAAATTTTGTCATAGACTGAGTCTATACGGTAAAATAAAATAACATAACGGAAACATCACTAACAATCATAAACTAACATTAACATTAAATTAACCTAGATAAATAAATAGTGTAAATAGCTGTTGTTCTTTATTAGTTTATGATAATCCAATGTTAACTAATTAAACAAAATACAAACAAAATCACTGAGCATTTACCCCAAAAATCAACCTACATGAATATGTGAGGGAAAAAATAAAGCAGTTTTGTCTCTTTAACACGCAAATACAAGAATTTGTTAACCCAATACCAAAAATATACTTTTATTTAATATACTTATTACTTTATGTAATAACTTTTGACTTTATTTTAAAATGTTTTTTTTCTCTCTAACCTCTATTGCTGTTTTGACAAAGACAATTTTTGGGTTACAAAGCAATATATAAAAGCACATTTCTATAGTATATATTGTCTTTATACTCGCTACATAAATGTATTTTTACATTTTGTCATATAGTTTAAGTCTATGCAGTAAAACAAAATATACAAATAAATATAAAAGGATTCAAATTCATATAAATAAAAATAAATGGAAAAATGACATGCAAAATGACATCATAAAGAACATCTGTATATTAATAAATTACATTACCATAGCATTAACCAAGATAAATAAATATTGTAAATGAAATCAAATCAAATCACTAAGCATTCACCCCAAATGTCAACCTCACTAATCAACTAGATTTGTACTGTCTGGCCCACGCTGTCAGAGTGAGACGTAACCTGCAGCTCTTCTGGACTGATTTACTCAAGCCTCTCGGTTGCCCGTGAATCAGGTGCAGTGATTCACCTCGGCCTGAAATATCACTCTGAGGTTCAATTTTCTCTCTTCTACATAAAACCTCTGGCCTGACAGACACATAAAACATGCAAACAGCCACTAAAGCACCAGCGCTGGCTTTATTTGCAAGCTACAGTGAAAGACGGATCATATTACACAGGATTTAAAACAAACCTTTGTGCACAAGCATTCATCGCACAAAGCACTGCAATCTCTCTCAAATATGACTCCTGCTAAAGTCTCCTGCTAATCTGAATGTACAGAACAAAGCATAATACATCAGAAGGATACAGTAGTGCTGAACACACACACACACACACAGAATCTGAACTGCTCAGCTAATTGCAAAGAGAGGTGCTGCTGTCTCCAGACATTATGAGAGTAAATCAGAGTGCTATAAAGATGAGGTATTTCTGAACCAAATAAACTCCAACAAGCTTCACGTTCAACTGATGCAATGCAGCGCAATGCGATGCGATGGAGAGGAGCACTTTCTCATGTTCACGTCAAAATGGTCATCAGCCATGAAAGTAAAGACATCAAGCTTCTTTTCAGAATTTTTAAACAACCTCTCAAAAGAAAAGAAAACAAAGATCATACTTTTGTTTTATCTCTGAAAGAACAGAAGCACTTTGTAACAATTTTCTCCCTCAGTGTTTTTGTCTTGTTTTCCAGTACAAATATGTCCATGACACATAGACTTGAGATGAGCAAAATGACGTAAGTCTAGATTTCTGTAAAATTGATCAAGTGAAAATCAAATCAATGTGCCAATGAAGTAAGAAAAAAAAAACTTAATTTAAATGGAAAACTTTTTTTTTTCTGACCCAAACGGCATATTTGTTTGCATCTCAAGTAAATATATCTATTTAAATATTTGTTTAAATGTGTTCAAATATCTTAATGTTAAATTTTTTGTTTAAATATCTGAAATATAGTAATTTTTAAATATAAAATTTATATTTAAGTATCTGTAAAGTTAAAATTTTAAAGTACTTACAGTAATTTGAAATGCATGAATATTTGTTTAAATATTTTTAATTTTTAAATGTTTGTTTTAAAATTTTAAATGTGTTAATATTTTTAATGTTTAATAATGTCTGTGCTTGCTCTACACATGTGAAGAGTTTAATTAACATGATCACGTTCACAAACAAATGTACATAAGGATAATTTATGCTAAATAATTCTATAGCTCCCTGATTAAATACACAATATACTGTAGCACGATTTTTCCAACTCGAGCACTGAATTCTACATAATACAGAAGCGATGCGGAGTTTGTTCAGATCCTCCTGCAGTTCAACAGTCGTGAGAGGATTCCCGCTTTAATAAGGGTTGTTAGCACCGCGGGGAATTTCTGAAGGAGACAGAGATACAGACAGATAGAACAGCGCTGCTCGTGTCTCCAGGGAAACCCAGACCTTTAAAACATGATCAGAGTGAGGGAATTCTGGGTAGGCAGGAGAGCGGCAAAACCGCTATAAAAGCAGGATGCCAAATCACACAAACACAACTACACATACACCTCATCAGCGAACTCTGGCTGAAAATATAACTGATGAGCACATATGGACACGGAATGAAGAATTCAGCACTCAAACGCAGAGAACATCAATGCTTTCCTTCAGTTATAAATGGTAGAACAAGTGGTACAAACACCCAAGGTCATGAGTATGATGAAGTTTCTAGTAATCCTGCTGAGGTTATCCAGGTGAGCTTGATTAGGATTGGAGCTCAACTCAACAACACACTGGTCCTCCGGAAGTGGGTTTGGACAGAAAACACATAAACGTACATAAATGTTATTCTAAACCTGAGAGTCTTCTCTGCTAATGAATTGCTAAGTGTATACTCCATCCAAAAATGAACTTTTTCTCATCATTTACTCACCCTTGTGTGACTTCAAAATGGTATGACTTTCTTTATTCTTTACACTCCAAGTATAAATAAGATATTTTGAGAAATGTCTATGTATTGTGTACACACTATGGAAGTCAATGGGCTCCAATGTTGTTTGCAGTGTTATTGAGAAACTATTATACTTTTTATTATTTGAATAATAATAATATTATATACTATTATTTTTTATTTATTTTATACATTTTTATATTTTTTTTATATACTCGCTACATAAATGTATTTTTAAATTTTGTCATATAGTTTAAGTCTATGCAGTAAAACAAAATATACAAATAAATATAAAAGGATTAAAATTCATATAAATAAAAATAAATGGAAAAATGACATGCAAAATGACATCATAAAGAACAACTGTATATTAATAAATTACATTACCATTGCATTAACCAAGATAAATAAATATTGTAAATGAAATGAAATCAAATCACTAAGCATTCACCCCAAATGTCAACCTCACTAATCAACTTATTTTTTTTATTTTATTTTTGAATCAGTTATCTTTATATTTTATGTTTTTATTTAAATTTTAGTTACATGTTTAGTAATTTAGTTGTTTCTGTCATTTTCCATTTATTTTAATTTCTGATTTTAGTTTTAGTTATTTTAGTGCATCAAGTTAAACTAAATTAAAATGAAAAATGTAGCTGAAATAAATAATATACATTTTGTATTTTAGTTCAAGTAACAAAAACATATTTTAGTTCAAGTAAAAAAAAAAAAAAAATTTAAGTTTTAGTTAACTATAAGAACCCTGGTTGTTTGGTTCCCAACATGCTTTAGAAAATTTTCTATGTTCTGCTGAATAAAAAAATAAATAAAACATTTTTAATATAAACAAATATAGCAAAATAAAAGGCTGTAGTCTATTATGTCTTTATTCTCTTTAAAATAAAATAAAATAAATAAATAAAATAAAAACTAGTCATTAATCACGAAGAAATTGTCCGCAACTCTAATTATGGTCATCGTGTACCATTCTACAAAGGCAAAAATATATTTACAAATATGCAAAAGTTAAAAATTAAAACTGGAGCACTTGTGCACTTATGAGTGAAGTGACATCTGAGATCGTCTGAGTTCATCTACAAGTCTAAATTCTTGTGATCTGCCCTAAAACTAATCAAGTATCACATAGAGGCTCTGAAAGTGAGTGTGCCGTGACGTTTCTGCATCATTTATGACAATGCAAGTTGGCAGAGAGACATGCAAGATTTGATTTTTCACATGCATCATCACACAGTCCATCAACACAGCGCTGGATGAATTGCTTCTCGTTAACACACAATAAAGTCACCAGATCCTCATGCCACGTTACCAGCTGAAGCTCCTGCTCTTGCCTGAGTGAAGTGCCTTTCTCAGTGCGAAAGATGCAGGCTAACATGAATGAAGCGGAGCAAAAAAAAGCACCTGACTTCTGTGAATAACAGCTGAAAGAGCAGCACATTCACACAGATCAGCCGAGTCCCATATAAAAGAGACCCAGCCGCGCTCTGACAAACAGAGAAAGCAAACCTAATCAAAAGCTGAAATCTGCAGGGGGATTGTCCTGCCTTTCCACCGCTGTTTACGCCGTTCTGACAGAGCATCGACAGCAGCCTCTTCTACCTTCAGGACGGGGCGTATTGATCTCCATATCTCACCGAAAAAGTGGCTTTGGGTTCCTTTTGTGCTGTCAAACGCAAACTCTGCACAGTTAAAGTGTTCGTCTGTGATTGCATAAACATTACATCATTAATGTTCATCATCTGCTCGTAGAAATGAGCTGAACACTGTCAAATCTATAACAATTGAACTTAAAATGTAAATAATGTGGTGAGACGGCAACAACGCATGTCTGAGAAAACGGTCTATATAAAAAAAAAGACTGAACTGCGTTTCATGCCGTCTCCACAATTGATTTGTGCGACTCAGCTTGTCGTCGTCTTTGCCGAGGAACACGTCTTTAAAACACATCTGAGGTAAGACAAAGCATGAGACGTATTTCATTCTGTGACAGGATGACAGCTGCTGTAACTCATCTCATGCAAATGTCCTGACCTGACATGAATACGTGAGGAAAAATAAAAAGCTCCAGTCAAAAACAAGATGATTGATACATTCAACAAATGGCATCAAACAGCCTTCATCATGTCAGAAATACATTTGGGTTGTTTTACAAAACGGTCTCGCTTTAGTGTGTAATTAATGACTTTTACTGTGTCATCGCAAGCATTTTTCTAAAAAATGCTTTTTGTTTTTAAACGTATTTTTCTCCAACTTTGTTGCTGCGTGTATTATTTTAGTATCACTGAAATAGTACTGCAGTTTACTAAAGTTTATTAATTGACATTCATATTTTCAATCAGTTTTAATTTTTATATTTTCTATTCTCATTATAATTTGAGTTACAATCTTAGGAATTCTGCTGTGCATGTTTACTTATTTTATTTCAAGAAACAAAAATGTTTTTTATTTGGTTTGTAATTTTGGCAACCACTGTATTTATTGTCTTTGAATATATTTATAAATAAGTATATACACACTAAGTAATAAAATAAAATAAAAAATAAAGGAAAAATTGCGTCCCAAGGTTAAGCATCAATAATGCATTATGAACAAACATGAATTAACAGTGAATAATTATGTATTTATAAGTTATCATTAACATTGAATTCGCCTAGATACATAAATACTGTAAACAGCTGTTGTTTATTTGTAGTTTTTGATCGCTAATGCATTAATTGTTAACAAACTGCACCAAATATATTACCTAATGTTTATTCATTTAGCTTGACATGACAAACACAATATGCTTGGTCTTGTACAATATTTAAAATCTTCCAGGTTGATCTTTTTGATATAATGTGAAAGGCACCAGTTTTAATGACCCATTTGTAATTTGTATATGACAACTAATCAAAAGCATCAACATTTGTTGCCATCTCTTTTAAGATGAGACAACCATGAATCTCCACACATTCCTGACATACGGGAAGCTACAGATCATGTTGATCCAGCACACACACATACACATCAGCAGATGTGTTGAATCTACAGGAGCTTTTCTGTAGTGGAGAGAGTTTGCCAGGCTTGTTTTACATCCCTTGTACAAACTATATAGAGTTCCATCAAAACCTCACATCTGTTCTGCTCACGGAAAAGCTCATCAGCGGCCGTCTTTCTTTTCATCTGCCTGAAAACACATCGACACACCAGTCTCTCTCTGTCGTTACATTTCTGTCCACGTCCCTGAAGAGAACGAGTCCTTCAATAACCATTACGCAACAGAAGCGTTTATGTGCTGAGAGTAACTATATACGACGTGCGGCCGGATCAGACAAACAGGCAGAACGCTCGGACAGCTGCTCAGACTGATGACTATTCATCTCACACACACGACAGAGAACAAGTCAAAGTCAAACAGGAGACGCATAAAACTGCTTTTGTAAAATCTGTTCCAACATGTTTTAACCAATGAATTTCCATAACTGCCTAATGATTACTAGAAAAGTTAATAGCCATTATAGACTTTTCCAGCCCTTTGGAACACGCGCAAAAGGCCAAAACATGATACAATTCATATGATTTACTTGCTCCGCCCCTAGGGTCTTCTGATTGGTCCACTGTTTTGGAACTGACAACGATGAGCGCCGTTGTGTGTAAAAGTTGAAATTTTTACTTACGACGTCTTAAAAACGTGCCGCTCGTGGAAGATGCTGCAAAAGACGCGAGTGCAACGGTCATTCGCGTTTGTCTAGTGCATTTACACGAAAAAACTACGGAAAAGTAGCGTGTTCTGTGTCCCTTTACACTTGTAGTTCGGGCCAAAACTGACCCACCTACAAAAACATTGCTTTATTATATTTCAAAATATTGGATTCATTTTTTTTTAACAACTTGACTTCTTTCAATTAGCACAGGTTTTGTATTTCTTTTGAAAACAGCTGATTGTAGGCCTCACTGATTTCAGTTAATTGCCAAAATTATCCACAAATAATGCTATTTTCACTCAAAAAGTGAGGTGCATAAGCTCAGATCAATGAGGCCTACAACCAATCACTTTCAGAAACAAATACAAAACCTTTACTAACCGAAAGAAAACAAGTTGACAACAAATGGACTAAGATTATGTGATAATACAGTACATTGAGAGATTTACAAGCAATTTTTGACCTGGAATGCCTAGTTAAATAAAGGATTTACAGCAAAAAACATCAATAAAGAGCCATCAGCGAGCGACGTGTTATTGTGCTGTATGACACAGCAGATGTTCTTTTCGGAGAGATAAAAGCTTATTTGTCATTGGCATGGGATACATTTCCCACTAAACAGCAATAAATGAAGCTTCATCAGTGCTAAGATCATCTTTAGTAGATCTCTATCTCACACACATACACAATCTCACAGGCAAGACAGCAGGAGGATTTGATGTGTTGCTCTGCCCTGTAACCATCATCAGAGTTTTGACTGAGTACAGAGCGATAAAAGCCTTTCGATTTGATGATAAAGTCAGTTTGCAGCACCAAACACGTGCTGCTTCAACCAACATGTGGATGTAAGTCAGTGAATTCCCGGCAGACCTTCCTTTAAATAAAACCTCACGCTGGATATTTACAGTGGGTACGGAAAGTATTCAGACCCCCTTAAATTGCTTATGAAAACTTATGAGAGAAGTTATGCACAGAGTTTTATTTCTGAATCAATTCTTTGAGAAAGGACAGCTTAAATCGATTTACAAAAATACATTATATTTACGAAAGATGCTTAACTTTAAATCAAACATGACTTTAAAACATTGAAACTCAATGCTCTCATATTTATGGGAAGTGACGAGGAAGCTGTTGGAAAACTTAATCGTCAAATAATAATAATAATAAAAAAAAACAAAAAAAATATAGCTTAATTTAATATCACCTGCAAAATCATGGCAAACACCTCATGAATATTCAATATATAACCCAGTACTGCTGTTAAGACATGCACTGATTATATCATTACCTGCCAGGCAATCAGATCCTTTAGTTTTTCAATCTTCTCCTGGTCATTTGCATGTTCCTGGATGTATTTCTCAGTGAAAAACGCCTATAGATGACAAAACAACAACTGTAAGTTATAAACACCTGTCTGTAAGATTTAAAAGAAAAGAAATAATAATACTTTTATTCAGCAAGGATGCATTAAATTGATCAAAAGTGACAGTAAAAACATTTATAATGTTAAAAAAGGTTTCTATTTTGTTCTGCGTTGTTCTTTTGAACTTTGTTTAAATTATGTTGACGTCTTCATCGGTTATAATGGACGAAATGTCATTTAAAGAATCCTGAAAGAAATGTTTCCACTAAAATATGAAGCAGCACAACTATTTCCAACATTGATGATGATAATACATGTTTTTGAGCAGCAAATCAGCATATTAGAATGATTTATGAAGAATCATGTGACACTGAAGACTGGAGTAATGATGCTGAAAATTCAGCTTTGCATCACAGGAATAAATTACATTTTAAAATATATTCACATAGAAAACAGCTATTTTGAGTTGCAAAAATATTTCACAATTTTGCTGTATTTTTTATCGCATAAATGCAGCCTTGATGAGATGACTTTCATTACATAAAATGGTTAAAATAGTTTATACATTTAACTTCTCTTGGTTCACTGCGTTTAATCTTTGTGCCGTGACACAATTTGGCAATAATTACCAGAATAATCTCATACCTTCTCATAATTAGTAAAGCCGCCCATGACAGCTGGGTCCACGATGCCATTGAGGAACATAGAGAGGGGGTTGATGGGAAGGCTGGAGTCGTTTAAATGGCGCTGGACCATGTTGCTGATTTTCTCATTGGTCAGTTGCATTGTCTCCATAGCGTTTTCCAGCGGACTGATTTCCTCCTGCAGAAAGAAGCAAAAACATATTTATAGGCCAAAATATAATTTATGAATAAAATAAACAAGCAGGAAATATTTACGCGGCAAAGGATGACTCTTACTTTAACCAGCTGTCTAACACGTTACTGTTACGCAACAACCAAAGTTGCAATCCAACAAACAAATTCCACTAACGAGCAGCGAAGCAACAAGAGCAGGTTTTCAACTGTTTACAGATTAACTAATGAATGGGTTAACATGTTCTCTCCGAATATCTGGGTCCCGTAATGCATCTGTGACAGGATCTGAAATCAATGTGAGAGACAGACGCTTCTATCTTGGGAAACTCGTGCCAGGGAGGCTAATGAGAACGATAACACACGTGAAGCGTCAGAGAAAACAATCGTGGTGAGACGGTGAGAAGGAGAGCTCAAAAGAGATGGTGCAAATTAGAACGGATAAACACCAGGGCATGCAGTCTGGGTATCACATGATGCTAGAGCCGCTGCACAGTCAAATAAGCGTGCCAGCACACGTAACCACCATTCCCTCAGCGCAGGACAGATTCAGGACGACATGATCAGAATAGCATGATGGAAAGAGAGAGTTAGACAGGCCAGGTCTGCTATAATGGAGTGTAGTGAGAGCGAGACAGGTCTAAATGTATTGCTTTGTTTTAAATATTAAGCATTAAAATATACAACTACATATTACTAGGGATGCACACGAACACCACTGATGCTTGTAAACAATGCTCGGCCATAGTTACGTGTGATGTGACTTTTAGCTGAATCAGAAATTCAGTAACAACTCTACATTTTTAATTGTATAATTACGTATTTCATGTGAGCACCACAGTAAGCTGTGTTCACTCTAGAGGGAGCAAAAACAAGACAGCATGCCAATCAACCGCAACAGATCACTCTATCTTGAGACAAGCTCTTTAAAAATATCTGTACCAAGTACAAAATGCATTAAAAATGCAACTTTGAGTGCTGAACTCCTGTAGCGTCAAAAATAGCGCACGCTTAATATTCATGCAGTCCAAAAAAAATGGCTTTTGAAGTATTTTTCATTGAAATTATCAGCAAGTCTTACCAAGAACCGCAATACAATCAGATAACACCAAAGCTTGTCATTTTCTTTTTAAGAAAAAAACATAAGTTGTTCTTAAGAACATATTTGAGAACTTTTGAAGAACTGCACTTAGGAACTTTGTTGTGAGCTTCTTAAAACTTCTTTCTTAAGAAAAATTTAGTGAATATGCTGAGAATTAGAATATGGTGTTGTATTGTATGTACTATCATTGTAATGTACTGCCATATAATTTTCATTAAACATTCAACAATACAATACAATCTAATAAAAACAAACATTTTATAAAATCCAACTTGGATGAAAAAAGACAAGCTTTTTTGTACAAACAATTCTGTGAAAGATTCTTGAAATGTACTTGTAAGTTTTTTGGGGTCCATCTTACAAATTCGTCCTTAAATGTGGTTGTCTCATACATTAAAAATATAATCATATATATATTTTATTAATGGACAAGTTGGTGCTACAATGCTGAGATTTTGGAGCTTTTTCACCCTTCAATAAATGCCCATGGGTCATTAGAATATGGTGAGAGTGAGACAGGTTAAATATACAGGTGCATCTCAATAAATTAGAATGTCGTGGAAAAGTTCAACTCGTGTATGCAGATGAGGGTGAGACGGGTCAAATCAACTGTATCCGAGTTCATTCGAGGTTGCTGATTTTCTTTCAAAGCATCAAGAATCTGTGATATAATGAACCACTGCGGATGCTAAAGCTGTCGTACTCACCGCTGAGACGGACACCACTTCAAACCAGCGCAGGATGCCCGGCAGCTTATAGGCGGTGACGTAAGTCGTCCTTTCAATCCACATGTTCTTTTGGAAGAATGGGAAAAATTGAGCAAAACATTAAGTGAACAGTTAGCAGAATGAAAGTTTTTAGCAAAGGGCCACATTTCAGGTAAAGAGTGGCCGCAGTTTATTCCTGTGTGCTTTTTTTCTTCAATTTAAGCCTCCATTTACTGGATTTTAATGGATGTTTACCAATAGCAGATGTAAGTGGAGGCCGTGGAGGTGGGACAGACTTTATATTTTTAGTATAACGGTGCAGTGTTCTCAGGTTTGACATCTCGTTGTAATAACTCGACGTGAAGCCATCTTAAAAGGTTTTTAGACAAACGGCCATTAGAAAAACATTTCGGAGTTCTTCTAAATGAGGAACTGCAGAGCACTTTACACAAGCGCTGAGTGAAATAACAAAAGGAGAAATGCTTTAGTCATTGAAAAGCAAAAGAAAACTCACAGCGAACTCATTGTCCGGATCTTTCTCTCCTTTCCGGACCGGCCGTGAATACTGGAATTTCTGGACTTCATTCACGGTGTAAAAGCTGAAAAATAAAATGCGAATGATTCATTCTCAGAGCGTTTAGTGGTTTTGAGAGGGTTGCATTGGGTCAAGAGGAAGGAGATGCATGAGCATGCTTCTAAAAGCAGCCTGGATGATGATTAAAAACACTGAAACACAGCGGAAAAGAAACAACAATCCCGCTTCATCAAGGACGTTCTTGAGGTGTGCTCTTGAATGAATCTTTAACCTGAGTTTACTACCATGACTCGTCAGCATCTTGATCATTCACAGTTTACTGATATTTTGGGCTAATTTGATTAAAAAAAATGCAGATTTTACCTGTGACAATGCAAAGTCTTCGTATTTTGTTTGTGCCTCTAAGTTTATTCTTTGTAAAGCGTCTGAGAGCTAAATGCAGATTTTGGGGCATTTAAAAACTGACTGAGGCCCGACTACACAGCTTTTTAGTGCCGCCTGTGAAAGAGCGTATCATTGATTGGACAAACTTACTGAACAAATACGCCTGTCACTGAAGGAGAGTCTGAACAAGACGCTGTCACAGTTTACTGATATTTTGGGCTAATTTGATTTTAAAAAATGCAGATTTTACCTGTGACAATGCAAAGTCTTCGTATTTTGTTTGTGCCTGTAAGTTTATTCTTTGTAAAGCGTCTGAGAGCTAAATGCAGATTTTGGGGCATTTAAAAACTGACTGAGGCCCGACTACACAGCTTTTTAGTGCCGCCTGTGAAAGAGCGTATCATTGATTGGACAAACTTACTGAACAAATACGCCTGTCACTGAAGGAGAGTCTGAACAAGACGCTGAGTGAGAGATGAACGAGTGTGAATGACTGATGGCTATGCACAGTTAACATGACACCAGTTGTGAGTAGCCTGTTGGAAATGCAGAGCTTTTGTGCACATTGAACAAAACGGATAAGTAATTTTCCCAGCAGTGGAAGTGAAACCTCAATTTATTTTTGCCAATTGCTGTTGTCTAAAAAAAGAAGCTCAGCATTTGACAAAATGAAGGAAAATAGATATGCTTTATTGTCATTTCTGGAGAAAATGCTTACATGCTTTTGAGACTGAGTAGATCTGCGGACATTTGAAATATAATAAAAGATAATAAGACTAATTTCAGTGGTGCTTCTGTTGAGAAAATGATTCAGTGGAGCAGCTTACACACTATTTCAGATTTCTGAAAGCACAACTGCATGACAACAATAATTAAACTCACGAACTGTTCAACAGCTACAGAAAGAGTCACTGTATGAATCAATGAATGGATATTTAAAGGGATAGTTGACTCAATAATGAAAATTCAAGCATTTTATTCACTCTCATGTTGTTCTTTCTTCTGTAGAACATAAAAGGAGATATTTTAGTGTTTTCAACCATACAATGGGAGCCAAAACTGGTTGTTTACCAACTTTCATAATATCTTCTGTGTTCCACAGAAGCAAGCTTTTGGGTGAACTATCCCTTTAACAGTCCTTCTGGAATTTATGGTGTCATGCATTTTAGATAAACCCGCTCTTATATGTGACCTTGAACCACAAAACCAGTCATGATTTTTTTTTTAAATTGAAATTTATGCATCATCTGAAAGCTGAATAAATAAGCTCTCCATTGATGTATGGTTTGTTAAGATAGGACAATATTTGAAAATCTGGAATCTGAGGGTGCAAAAAAAATCTAAATATTGAGAAAATCGCCTTTAAAGTTATCTAAATGAAGTTCTTAACAATATTACTAATCAGAAATTAAGTTTTGATATATTTACGGTAGGAAATTTACAAAATATATTCATGGAACATGATCTTTACTTAATATCCTAATGATTTTTGGCATAAAAGAAAAATCGCTACAAATATCCCTGTGCAACATATGACTGGTTTTGTGGTCCAGGGTCACATATGGAACGTAAACTCTACTTGGTCGCTTTACATATCAGTCAGTTGGTCTCTTTCTTGTCAGTTCTTGGTCAGAACAAGCAGCAAACCCATTCAGACTAGAGCGAAGATGAGTACAGGCGTCATATTTCTCTATGCCATTACACTTGAATGAGAAAATAACGGTTTTGCTATTAAAAGCAAAAGAAAGAGAGGGAATAAGGTGAACATTTACACCATTTGATCTTCCCAGTTCACAAATCCACTAAAATCCAATTCTGAATACTCCAGTTGCAGTCAGGTTTGTGCAACTCACCTAAATTAGCATGATGGCGCTAACATGCCTAGAGTTGTGCCTCTGGACTGGGCTCTGAACAGATTCAAATCGGATTGAAAAAGACACAGATAACCAATTACAATATTTACAAATGTATTAGCTGCAGGGGAGAGAGATCCAGCCCGGGGCATGAGAGGAGAGATGCAAAAATAAACCTCAACTGTGACATGGGAGATCAGGCCAACGTTCAATCACTGAAGTTATCCACCCCTTAAGCTCCTCTATACGTTCACGCTCCAGCAAGCTCACAAAAATCACATCCTGTCAGGTGACCTTTGACTCTGACGCTTATTTACTCAGAATTGTGCGTAAATAGTGAGTTTTAATTGCTTTTCATGCTCACTGGCGGCTCTGATTGGCTGCGGTAAGCCGCCTCTGATGCTTTATCAAGATCGGTGATAACGGTGCTGTTTACCCCGTGGCACTGAATTTAGCCTGAAACAGAATTATGCTTCCGCTGCAGGTGTGTGTGCGAGTGATTTATTAAAGCACAGAGGAGTGTAGTAAGGTCAAACACTCATTGCTCACTGCACATTTCCATTTGAATCAGCTGGGTGAGTCGCTCTGAAACACAAACCCCAGAGATCTGCCCGCCGGTTTACTGACCCATCACTCTCTCACACACACACACGCACACAGAGACACAGACAGACAGACAGACAGACAGATAGACAGATAGATAGATAGTCTCTCACCTGACGATCTGCTCTGATACGGGTTTGTTCTGGAACTTTGGTGGCAGTTCTAGGATGGGCTTCACTGTGAAACACTGAATGTCTATTTGGACCGAACTAAGAAACAATAAAAGGGACAATTTGGAGAACTGAAGACAAACAAAAGTGATTTTTTGTTGTTGTTGTTGTTATTGGCATGTGCTGTGAGTGACATTGGAGGATACACTGTCCAGAGGAGCTCCTGATGTCCTCGCTGGGAGGGGTCGTGGTCTTCATCTTCTCAGCGTTGGGGAACTGAGTGAGCAGTCTGGCCTCAAAGTCCTCCCACCGCTCATACTCCTTCCCCCGACAGATGAACATCTTATTCTGAAAAACACCCGCAACAGACATTCTCATCTCCAGATCAAACTTTCCTTTTCTGATTTATTTTGACAACTTTTCTGTGCTCACCGCCCTAATCTATGAATAATATTTGCATGGTATGAATTTCAAAGCATCACATTTTCTAAAAAAAGCACAATTTAATTAACACATCAGATTGAATAAACACACGGAAATATAACAAAAAGCAATAATCAAATACACAAAGGCCAGAGATGAGTACTAACACATCCAGATATGATTTAAAACAGCAGCATCTACATGGAAAAACAAGACAAAAATAAAAACGTTTAAATAAGTTTTCTGGAGCATCTATCAGTGAAGCATATCTAACAAGAGCTTAACAATAAAGAAAAATGTGCCTATTATTATAATGTATTAAACAGCCAACAGAACTATTATCAGAACTGGTGGTTCTCATGGGCACAGACCATGCAATGCCAAATAATAAAATGCAACTAACCATGTAATCATGCATAGATCAGATAAATAGACTTTTGAATTTCTAAAAGAGTGGACAAAATGCTTCACATAACATTTGTTGTCAATGTCAAAGGCTGTGCGTCCAATCAAACTCTTCAGTGTTTTATTCTGTATCTTAATAAGAAATCTTAACAATTAAACAGAAACAAATTTGTGATATTGATGAAAGCCTGTTTTTAAAAAAACGTACTTGTTGTAAATTCACATGTTTTTTCTTGCAATTCTGAGAAAACATATTAGGATTGCAATATATAAATCTCGTAATTCTGGGTTTATATCTTGCAATTCAAACTTTTTTTCTTTAATTTGCAAGATATAAATGCAAAACTGCGATTCTGAGAAGAAAAGTCCAAATTGTGAGATATAAACTCGTAATTGCAAAAAAAAGTAAGAATTGTGAGATTAAAAAAATTGCAGTTAAGTTTTTTATTTTTATATTGTGGTGGAAACAAACAAAACGTAACTGCAAGACGTTAACTCAGAAGTCAGAGTTGCAAGACAGAAACTTGAAATTTTTTTCTTAGAATTGCAAGTTTATATCTATATAATGCAAATATTAATACAGTAGTAAATATAAATGTTTTTATTAAAACAGTAAAATCATGCAAAAAAACTGAAATATGTAATTACAATAATGCATACTTAATTGCAGCTGAGAACCACAAATTCATCATCTATGAATTCAAGGATTTTATGAAAACAGTAAAATGACACAGAAAACAGAAGCTCATCACTCAGAGAAGCTCATTCTGTATTTCTTAGAGTTTGAACGTTGAATCTCAAAATATCCACGGCGGCTGTAATTCCGAGGCGTTTGGCAGTCTGAAAACACTCAATTATTGCACATTCCCATAAAGACACCGTCAATCATCTGCGACCACCTACAACACCGTCAATATGTTTCCATTCACAGCGTCTGTGCGAACAACTACACTCAGACCGCTGTGTGCACACAAACACCCACACACACGCTGAGAAATATGACAGCAACGGAACGGGATACTAAATTGCCAATATGCATGGAATTGAAGTGTTTATTGTTGAAAAATGCATGATCACATTTAATATTTCGCAATAGGACAAAGCAGCGTGACAGTATTCGATATGAAAACGGAGATATACACACACAGACTAGGGTTAAGCCATTTGATGAATATCAAATTTTCATGTTGTGATTAATTGCTAATGCTTTTATCACGGTATTCGGTATTATCACGATATTGAAATTTAGTTTTAAAAAGTGCTGTCATAATACAGTATAACAGGTTTAATAAAATTTTTCTTATAACAAAAACAACTGAACATTTAAATGCAATAAAGCAATACAGAAAAATGTATAAAGTTAAAAGTTTTACACAGATTAAAGTGCAAAAGAACTATAAAGACCAATAGGTATAACTTTACAATAAGACCTCATTAGTTAAAGGTACAATAGGAGATCTTGGAAAATGCTAACTTTAGCCTGATAGCACTGAAAGCGAACGTCCCACCCTTCCTG